TGTGCAGAGTTAGTCAAGACAAATCCCAACAGACTAAAGGCTGTGATTAAAGCAAAATGTGGTTCAACAAAATACTGACACAAGTGGATTATCCTTTTTCCAACTCCGTGATTCAGTTTTAAAAAAAAAATTTCTGTACTGTATATATTTGTACGAATCATCTCAGATTTGTGCACCCCATTAGACACTTTACAGAGCACAGCAATAATGTGCCTTCGACAGGCTAATCAGAAAAACATTCAGTAAGCACATTGTGAGAAAAAAAGTTGTGCCACAGCTGAACCGCTGCACATTGAAAATAATCTTAGTCAAACAATATTCTTTGAATGAACTGTTTTTAGTTTAGTTTGAATCCAAAGAATGCTTAGCTTGGATGAAGCAAATCTTCTGCCCAAAGTCATGGTGTTTGTGGTTTGGAGCAGTGAAGAGCTCAGGAACCCAAAATAAAGTTTAATTGAAATAGATTGGCACTGAAATAGAGACATTCCTAAACATTAGTAATACTTGCAGGAACCCCTGAAAGGTCAATGTTTTCGAAAATACAATTTATGACTATTGTAATAGCCACATTAAAATGTTCTTATATGTTGCTAAACAGAAGCACTGTTAAAAAACAAACTACAGACTGTAAGCAAACTATAACTTAATGTACCTTATGCATAGAAAAATATTATAATTAAAAGACAGCACATTCAGTCTTAATGTAAATGATTAAAAACAGAAGTATACATTACGAATAACCATATAATTTATTGTAAAAAAAAAAGTATATTTTTATGATAAGGTTCATGCAACAATACCTTTCAGTTTTTTTATTGTAAAGTGGATATTATGAAAATGTCATAGGTTAATTAAATATGTCTAAGTAATGTAATAGTACAGTAATGTTTAAGAACATTCATGAACGTATTAAAGTTCAACACAAATATTCCTTAAAAGTCCAAAGGCTGCAGAAAATGACAACCACAGACAGAAATAACTGAGATTCCATTTGTGGTCTCCTTAAAATTAAAAAAATATATATTTTTTTTTGCTGTTTCATGAGCCCAGACAGAAATCTACTGGAATAAAACTTCCCATCCACATAACACTCAATCCTCACTGCCATTATGACCGACCACTGTTTCATAAATTCAAAACAACAAAGTGAATCACAAATGATGAATTGGGATCGTTTTATTAGAAAAAAAAATGTTCATAATATCATAATTTCAAAACAAACCATGTCCTGTCTAATATCTCATAACACTGCAATTCAAAAGACTCCTTGATAATGAGGTTGTGCACAAAGAGGCTCATTTTCACATATTGCCTTCAAATTCACTTTGCTTGTGTTTTGACATTTTCAGTTTGAGTGTAAAAAAAACAAATAACAATAACATATATAGGAAGACACTGAAGACAATGATATCTATTTAGTTGTGACTTGATCTGTTTTTCTCTTTTCTACGTAGCAGGCAAAGCCAAAACACAGAACAGTTTATTAAACGAAAAGATTAATCTGTCATTCTCTGAGACATTTCCATTTTTAAATCCATTGAGAGACATAAACAGGAGAAAGGAGGAGCCAAACAGACGGGAAAAGCAACAGAAGGTCAATCATTAGGACAGAGAGAGACAGACAGAGAAAGATATGAACATAATGACAGGCAAAGATAAATACAGAAAGAGAGCACCATAAGAGACGCAAATCTTCAGTAAAATATCAGCTATGAACCAGAGAAGATGCCTGTCTTTCTGTCTGTCTGTCTGTCTGTCTGTGTTTTGTCGAATCAGCATTTTGTGTTTTGTTTTCCAGTAAAAACATCTAAATATCCTTAAAAGAATATAAGTTAACTATATATTTATTGTAAATTTTGAGAGAATAGTGGACAACGGGGCTAGTTGTCACATAGGGAAGAGCTATTCCTTGTGAAAAAGAAGTCCACTTTAGCATGCTTTAAAAAAAGTACTTTTTTATGAAAATAATATGTTTGAAAAGATGTTGAATGTAAATTGCATGTTATTTATGATTAAAGGGGTCATATGATGTTGCTAAAAATAACATTATTTGGTGTATTTGGAGTAATGCAATGTGTTTATTCGGTTTAAGGTTAAAAAAACACATTATTTTCCACATACTGTACATTATTGTTTCTCCTCTATGCCCCGCCTTTCTGAAACGCGTCGATTTTTACAAAGCTCATCATTCTGAAAAGCGAGCTGTTCTCTGATTGGTACAGCAACCGTGGCGACGGGACATGACGTCTCCGTTCCCTCCTTCAGGGAACAAGGGTTACCATACGTAACCGAGACGTTCCCTTTCAGTCGGTCACTCCGAGTCACATCGGTGACCGACGAATTGGGATCCCTACCAAAGCGCCACGGTGCTGCCCCTTCTATTGCCCTGTGCGAGCCGCCTGCACCCCTATCTGGTGTAGGCCGGGGCTCGGGACAAGTAGTTCCACTCACCATTTTTCAAAGCACTACCTTACTGAGTGAGATTGGATAACACTGGGAAAACGTACCCGCTCCACTTGGAACAGGGACGCTGCGGAAGCCCCATCCTTCCCGAAGGAATAAGCCAGGGTGAGGGCATCCACAATCCAGTGGGCCATCCTCTGCTTATAGACGGCATTCCCCTTCTGCCGGCCTCCGTAACAGACAAAGAGCTGGTCTGAGGTCCTGAAGCTTTGTGTCCGGTCTACGTAGCACCTTTATGCTCGGACGGGACAGAGTAAAGCCAGGGCTGGGTAGCGCTTGCAGGTTCACCACTTGGTCTTTGAAGGGTGTAGTGGGAACCTTGGACACATAGCCGGGCCGGGGCGTCAGGATTACCTGGGAGTCAGCCGGCGCAAACTCTAGGCACGAATCGTCGACCGAAAATGCGTGCAGGTCCCCTACCCTCTTGATGGAGGCCAGTGCAAGCAGGAGCAGAGTTTTCAATGAAAGAAGCTTTAGCTCAACTGAATGCAAAGGCTCGAATGGGCCCTGATTTTAGCACTAGAGACAGGTCCCAAGAGGGTATAGAGG